AGGAGGATCATTTGAGCCCAGGAGTTTGAGGTTGCAATGAGCTATGATGATGCCACCGCACTCTACCATAGATACAGAGTGAGAAATTTCCTGTCCCTAAAAAAAAAAAAAATTTGGTCCAGTTCTGGATTGCATTCTTGATCTTCCTTTCTGCAATATTGAGATAACAGTGAGGGAAAGGAAGTCAATTTTTCTTTTTGATGGGTCAATCTGGCTTATGCAGATAGATGGAAAACCCCTTCGAAGGCCTGTTTATCTCTGAGAGCTTTTAATTCAAAATACTCTTTATAGCAAGTAGTCATATTTTGGGGTGAAATTTCCTAAGCTCCTTTAGTCCAAAACTGATCTCTTCCTATGGGACTAGACCTTGCACCTCTGCCCAAGGGGTAAACATGTGACCTGATTGGGGTCATCATTTTATAACCTTTTCCACAAGCTGCTGATCTGAGATAATATAGTCCAGACTTAACAATCCCTTACAATTTCTGTTGGAACTGGAGGGAGAAGTTTTCTCTCACCTCTACCTGTGAGTGTAAGGATGGACCTGAGAGTTGCTTGCAGCTATAGCCCCTAGTTTTGTCTTCTTTGACCTCGTCTCTCACTGCTTCCTTTTATACTCACTCTGCCTCATCCACAGGCTCCTTGCGTTTCCTCAACTCCAGCAAACTTCTGCTTCAGGGCTTTGCACTGGCTGTTCTTCTATCTGGAATTCTTTTCTGCAGACCCTGCATACCTGACTCCTTCAATCTCTTCAAGTCTCTGCTCAAATGTCACCTTCTACAAATGTCTACCCTGGCCACCCTATCCAAAATGGTGACCCTATCTTCTTCTATTCCCAATCTCTTACCCTGCTCTATTTTTTTTCCATAGCAACAACTTCTAACATATAATGTAAGTTTATTATTGTTATTTACATTACTGCTCATTGATAGGCTCCCCTCTGCTAGAATATAAATTTCACTAGAACAGGGATTTTTGTCTTATTTAATTCATTGATGCCTAGAATCAATACCTTGACGTGCCTAGGGCAGTGCCAGGCAAATGATAGTAAGTACCCAGTAAAGTGTTATATATTTAATGAATCAATGAATATGTTTAGAAACAAATAAGCCTAACTAGTATAATATCTATTTAAGGAGGTTGTTAGCCAGATTAGAAATTATGGATCTAAAGTAAAGCACACACTCTGGGAGGCCAAGGTGGGAGGATTGCTCAAGGTCAGGAGTTAGAACAACTTGAGCAAGACCCATCTCTACTATAAATAGAAAGAAATTAATTGGCCAACTAAAATATATGAGAAAAAATTGCCAGGCATGGTGGCGCATGCCTGAGTCCCAGCTACTCGGAGGCTGAGGCAGTAGGATCGCTTGAGCCCAGGAGTTTGAGGTTGCTGTGAGCTAGGCTGACGCCATGGCACTCACTCTAGCCTGGGCAACAAAGCAAGAATCTGTCTCAAAAAATAATAATAAGGCCGGGCGCGGTGGCTCACGCCTGTAATCCTAGCTCTCTGGGAGGCCGAGGCGGGCGGATTGCTCGAGGTCAGGAGTTCAAAACCAGCCTGAGCAAGAGCGAGACCCCGTGTCTACTATAAATAGAAAGAAATTAATTGGCCAACTAATATATATAGAAAAAATTAGCTGTCCATGGTGGCACATGCCTGTAGTCCCAGCCACTTGGGGGGCTGAGGCAGAAGGATTGCTTGAGCCCAGGAGTTTGAGGTTGCTGTGAGCTAGGCTGACGCCACAGCACTCTCTCTAGCCTAGGCAACAAAGCGAGACTCAGTCTCAAAAAAATAAATAAATAAATAAGATAATAATAATAATAAAGTAAAGTACAAGTAGAATGTCTGACTCATATTAGGTAACTATTATAATTCAGGATCTTTTTTTCAAAGAATTTTCAGACCTGGAGATAAGTTTCTGCATCTATGAACAGAAAAAGACTGATAATAGAGAACACACTAGAAGGTGATCTTTGTCTCTGTATGTGTGTATATATTTTGTGTATTTATTTTCCAAGTTTTCTTTCTTGAGCATTATTTTTAGCAGACAAAGAAAATGATTTTTTTTTTTTTTTTTTAAGAATGTTGGCTTCACTTTGGGATCTGGGCAGATGAAAAAAGAATGTCTAAGTTCAATGAAGAGGAATTAAAATAAAGAACCAGAGCATGGTGGTAGCTGGGCTTGAGACTTCAGAACCAAAAACACTGGTTTAAGAGGAAGCTGTGAACACATGTAAAAATCACAAGGCCAGAAAGAAATTGTCCAACTTGGCTTGCTAGGTGGAAAGCAGATGAAGAAAGTCAGGGAAGAATTGCTGGGGGTATTCAAGATCATCAGGCTGTAGGCCTAAAATTAGTTGATCTAATGTTTTTTTCTAATTCTAACCATGTGCGACTGACTTTAGAAGAAGAGAGCGTGAGCAGTTGTTTCTTTCACTATGGCCAGAGCCCAGGGCCTGTGTCTGGTGGATGTTACTTCCCACCCTGTGGAATGACAATGGAAAAGGACCACCAGGACTATTAAGTGGAGTAAGCGAAGCAGCCAATTGGAAAGAGCCTATACTTTGGAGTCAGGTAGACTGCCTTTGAATCCAACTCTGTTACTGACCAGCCATAAGACCTTGAGCAAGTAACCAACCATCTAGGACCAGATCAAAGGCCCCCTAGAAAGTAGAGGTTGGGGGGAAAATAATAAATATGGCATTAAATTATACTCTTTCACAAACAAAACACAGAAAATAAGAGGTTTTTTGTTTTGTTTTGTTTTTGGTGAGACTCTGTTTCACTTTGTTGCCCAAGCTAGAGTGAGTGCTGTGGCATCAGCCTAGCTCACAGCAACCTCAAACTCCTGGGCTCAAGCGATCCTTCTGCCTCAGCCTCCTGAGTAGCTGGGACTACAGGCATGCGCCACCATGCCCGGCTGATTTTTTCTATATATATTAGTTGGCCAATTAATTTCTTTCTATTTATAGTAGAGACGGGGGTCTCGCTCTTGCTCAGGCTGGTTTTAAACTCCTGACCTTGAGCAATCCTCCCACCTTAGCCTCCCAGAGTGCTAGGATTACAGGCATACGTGAGCCACTGCACCCGGCCAAAAGTAAGAGTTTTAAAAAGCAACTGCTTTGAACAACTCAATTGATTAAACTAAAAATCCTCCTTATATCACCATAGGAAACCATGCTATCAGGGCAGGTTTTCTCACAACTCTTAAAAACACAAGTTTTCAAATCAGCCATTTCTGACTTGAGATATAAATAAGTCTTTTACACATTTGCTATTTGTTGTCATTTTTACTCCTTTGTTTCAGTTTCACAAGTCTTGGCAACCTTCAGTTCTTTTCAGAAAGTATTCTCATGCTTAAGGGTATGCAGATGGAACACCTCTTTATACTTTCCCTCACAGGTCTCTGAAAAGAGGGAGCAATTGCAAATTTTGGGTTAACTAATAGAAAATAATTTTCTATCAAAACCCCCTTTTTGATCTGATGAATTGTAAAAAGCACTGTAAAATTAAAATTAAAAAAGTATAATAGGCCGGGCACGGTGGCTCACGCCTGCAATCCTAGCTCTCTGGGAGGCCGAGGCGGGAGGATTGCTTGAGGTCAGGAGTTCGAGACCAGCCTGAGCAAGAGCGAGACCCCCGTCTCTACTATAAATAGAAAGAAATTAATTGGCCAACTAAAAATATATAGAAAAAATTAGCCGGGCATGGTGCTGCATGCCTGTAGTCCCAGCTACTCGGGAGGCTGAGGCAGCAGGATCGCTTGAGCCCAGGAGTCTGAGGTTGCTTTGAGCCAGGCTGACGCCACGGCACTCACTCTAGCCTGGGCAACAGAGTGAGACTCTGCCTCAAAAAAAAAAAAAGTATAATAAATAAAAATTAAAAACAAAAACAAAAACCCTTTAACAAGGAATGGTTGGCAAGTTTTTAAAAGCATGGACTTTGAAGCCAGGCTACGTTTCCTGGGTTTGAATCTAGGCTTCTTTATTTCCTAGCTGTGGGACCTTGGGCAAATTACTTTTCTCTTTGTGCCTGTTTCCTACATCCTAAGGTTATTGTGATAATTAAATAAATTAATATTTGTAAAACCCTTAGAACAGTGCCTGGCACACTGTAAACCTCTGTTTGCTAGGAATAGTTTGCCTCACCATTAGACCACTAGATCATATTGCTTGATGATAAGCTAATCTGCCTCATTCATCCTTTATCCCCTATATAGGTCTATGGGTTGGTTGCTGGGAAGGTGTATTGGTTTTATTAGTCGTAGCGGTTGTCCTTTTACCAGTCAATTGCAAGGACCAGTATTTATAGGGAAGTTTGGGCCCTGTCCCAGAGTGGCTAAGTGAGAGGAAAATGCCCACCATTTTCACTGTTGTTACCACCAGTTAGTGAAAATACTTGAAAGTACATTTTAAGTAATCATACTGGCTACCTCCCTTCCTCTGGGCCAGTATGAACGGAGGTGGCATGGAAAGAGGAGTTGAGGATTCTTCTTCCCAGGAGTCTGTCTCCAGCTGGAAAGGAGTCTGAAGTCTGCTCCTGAGTGTGGAAACCCGATGACAAGTATTCCCAGCACCCGTAGTTGGCCAGCAATACTGTGGAACTTGTGAAATGCAAAAAGACACCCTCAATCATTCCAGGGTCTTCTAGTTCAGCCTCTTGCCCATTTTTCTCTTCGTGGGAAGATGCCAGCAGCCTGATGGCCTTTTAGGATTCTTTTAAATTTGGGGCATCTGAAAACTGGCAAAGGCATGGCGCAATCATTTGGAGGTGTATACCCTCAATTAATCAGAGGCGTCCCTATTAGCGAGTGTGGTCCCAAGCACCCTCTTCCCCCGCCCCTGCCTTTTTTTGCGCAGCTTCTGGCCACGCCCTTTCACGTTCGGTCCGGAGGGAGATGAGGACGACTGGACTGCCATTGCGCCTGCGCAGGGAACCTAGAGGCTAGATGCCCCCAGGCTGCCTGGCCCCAAGGGCTGAGCTGTCAGTGCGCCTGCGCAGGAGGACAGCGGGTCGGCTATGCTGAGCGGACTCGCTGCCCGCGCCAGGCTGTCAGAGCGCCTGCGCGCGGGCTGGGCGCCGCGGTTCTTGACTGTGCTGTGCCGGCCCGGTGCAGTCATGCAGCGAGCGGAGTCCGAGCAGCCCTCAAAGCGGCCCCGGTGCGATGGCAGCCCAAGAACCCCACCAAGCACTCCTTCCGCAGCGGCAGGCAGGTCCCCGGGCCTGGTACTCCACCCAGACCACAAGACGTGGGGCCCGGAGCAGGTGTGCTCCTTTCTCCAGCGCAGTGGCTTCAGAGAGCCCGGGCTGCTGAAGAACTTCCGAGGTAGGGGGCCTGAGGGGCGCGGGGCAGCCGGATCTGAGGAGAGGCGCCCTGGGGGAGGGGGCCATGCCAGGGGACCTAAAGTCGAGAAGGGAGACCCGACGCGGAGGCACCCCGAAGGGCGGACCTGCGGCGGGGGCCGCCGTGGGAGGGAAGACAGGAGGCGGCTAGCCCTGCTGAGGAGGGGCCCGAGGCAGGGAAGGGAGACCTGACGCGAGAGGCACCCACAAGGGGTATCCCTGGGGCGGAGGAAGGAGAAATGGGGGCGCCTGGGGTAGGGGATCCGTGGGAAGGGAGCAGGTTCTGGGAACCTGGGAGGGGCGAACCTAGGAGGGACAAGTGTAGATTTGGGTCTTACTCTTTGGGTTTCTTCAGGAATTGGTCGCCCCAGCGCCGGACAGGCGAGACTCAGGTCCCCCCCACCCCTTTTTTTTTTGTTAGAAGGTTTTTTCCCAGACCTTGGTCAGAGGCATGCTGTCATTCAGGCTCACCAGCCTCGGGAGACCCCAGTCTGCTAACCGCAGCTCCTTGAACACTTGCCACATGAAAGGATGTTCTGGCGCTTTTAAGTTTCGATTTCCTCCCTGAATTTGGGGTTTTCCTAAAGTGGAAGGAACTTGCTTAATCTCTGAATTCCCACTGCCTCCCTTAGCATCTCAGTAGAGCTTAATAAGTGTGTGTTGACAGTCCTTGCAAAGCTTACCGATGGTCGTGTCTTGCTCTTTAAAAGCAGTTGCCCCTCCTAAATCTGAACGCTGGGGTTGTTCACTTGACCACTGAATCCCCAGCTTTCCATAGTTTGGCCACATGTCAAGGGGAAAGGTGTAGGTTGAGTTTTAAGCGACTTTACTGGTTCATGTTCAAGCATCCGTCCACTTCAAGTCTACTCAACTTTTTGTGTTGGGCGTGAGACTTAAGTGTTGCCTCAAGTCCTCAGAGTTGTTTAATAGGAAGGTGGTTATTTGATGGCCACGACTTGCAAATTCAGTAAACTTTTGCATTTGTAGGGTGGAGCCCTGTTTGCTTAGGTTGGAGCCTGGGTAGGAGGAACTTTAGTGCTTCAGGATCTAAATATAGCTTGAATGGGTATAGGAAATGGTACTTCTCTTTTTCCCTTTCCACTTTTTGCTTTCCTCCACTGCAGGGATGGATTTTTTTCTTTGACTAACAGCCGGTGGGGTGAAGTAGTTTTATATTTTGTCTCCAAATGTGATTGGCTATATTGTTGGCTCTCTATTTCAGTGGTATTCTGTTGATTAACTCATCAGCCTCCAGAATGATCTGTGTTCTCTTGAACCCTACATGCTTTCAATTGGTAAAAACTGACCAAGTGTTCCCAATTGCTCATGTCTTTGAGGTGGGGAACCTGCAGCCTTCTCGTGTCAAAACTGTTCTTTATTAAGCACCAAAGGAGGCAAGAAAAGCTTCATCTTCCTCTGATGCACTCCCCCCCTTTTTTTTTTTGAGACAGAGTCTCGCTTTGTTGACCAGGCTAGAGTGAATGCCCTGGCATCAGCCTAGCTCACAGCAACCTCAAACTCCTGGGCTCAAACAATCCTGCTGCCTCAGCCTCCCGAGTAGCTGGGACTACAGGCATGAGCCACCATGCCCGGCTAATTTTTTCTATATATATTAGTTGGCCAATTAATTTCTTGCTATTTATAGTAGAGACGAGGTCTCGCTCTTGCTCAGGCTGGTTTCGAACTCCTGACCTTGAGCAATCTGCCTGCCTTGGCCTCCCAGAGTACTAGGATTACAGGCATGAGCCACTGCACCCGGCCTTAGGCACCCCTTTTAATAAGGATTTGTTTTGTAAAATTTGGATTCAGTCTGCACTCCAGTAACCTGAAGGTCACATGTGGCCTCAAGGTCTCAGGTTCCCTACACTCTTTTCCTTATAGACCCCTGAGTTCTTGCTTGCTCTAAAAAAGTAGACTTTGCTCCCACCCCCATTGCTGATCAGCTTCTCCTGGGGACCAGCTGACCACAGAGAGAGAGTGTCCTGTTAGACCTCCACTGATCATTTTCCCTTGCTTGTCCAGGTTCCCATGCAAAAATTCTAATTATTTCTTCTTACCTGTTGCTTACCTTTTTCTTTTTCTTTTTTTCTTTTTTATTTTTTTTTGAGACAGGGTCTCCCTCTGTCACCCATAACTCACTGCAACCTCAAACTCCTAGGCTCAAGCGATCCTCCTGCCTCAGCCTCCTAAGTAGCTGGGACTACAGGTGTGCACTACCACACTTGGCTGATTTTTAAACTTTTTGTAAAGACACTCCTTTACCTTATAAAAGAACCTTTATTCTGTTTGATTTTGAGCTGCTTGCAGATATCTGAGGTTGGAGCTTTCTCCCTATTGCAATAGACCTTTTTTCTAATTAAGGTCTGTCTGTCTGTCTTTCTTTTTTTTCTTTCTTTCCTTTTTTTCCTCTTTCTCTCTCTCTCTCCCTCCCTCCCTGCCTCCCTCTCTCCCCAGATTTGGTTTTATTTCACAAAACCATATGGTACAGGGTCCCTTTCCTTGTGTGGAATACAGCCTCACAAGAACCCTGAAATTAGTTGTTATGCTCCACACTTTTTACAGATGGATATGTGTGAGGTACAAAGGTGTTAAGTAACTTACCAAAGGTCACACTGATAGAAAAAAGCAGAGCTGGATTTTTTAAGGTTATAGGTCTTTGAACCCACCTCATAACTCATGCCAGCTATACCTTAACAACTGTTCTCATTAAAATCCATTGGAAGAATCCTAGCACTCTGGGAGGCCAAGGTGGGCGGATCGTTTGAGCTCAGGAGTTTGAGACCAGCCTGAGCAAAAGTGAGACCCTGTCTCTACTAAAAAAAATAAGAAAATAGAAAGAAATGAGCTGGACAACTAAAAAAAAAAATATATATATATTTTATATATATATATATATATAGCCGGGCATGGTGGTGCATGCTTGCAGTCCCAGCTACTCAGGAGGCTGAGGCAGGAGGATCGCTTAAGTCCATGAGTTCCTGTGAGCTAGGCTGATGCCACGGCACTCTAGCCCAGGCAACAGAATGAGACTCTGCCTCAAAAAAATAAAAATAAAAATAAAAAACATTGGCGAATATAAACAATATTAGATAATCAACTAAAGCAAGGGGGAAAAACACTTCAATAGATAAATGAGTAAAACACAGGAACAAACCACTGACAACTAGCTGGTAAACACAGAAAAATGTTCAGTGTCAACAGTAATTTTTAAAATACCAATTTTTGATTTATAGTGGGAAAGATTTAAAAGCTTGATAATAGGGGAAAGTGGCTAATCCAAGAAAGTTGTTGAAAGCTTCAGTTGACTCAACCATGCATAGTTTCGCAATACCTTTTGACTAATAGGAATTTCATGTATAGGAATTTGCAGATATAATTGGACCAGTGTCCAAAAAATATATTTAAAATGATTCTTCTAACCATTGGTTATAAATAGCAAAGTAGAAATAACCTAAATGTCTATCAATAATAGTAATAAATAATAGCAATGGCTGACATTTGAGTATTTAGTTTGTGTGAAATACTGTTCTCTGCTCTTTACATGTCTTATCTTGTAAAATCTTTAAAACTCTTATGACATAGGTTCAGTTATATACCTATTTTAGATGTGAGGATAGTAAGATCCAGAAAAATTGTTTAAATATATTATGATATATCTATACTGTGGAATACAAGACAGCCATTAAAAATGATCTATAATTTAATAATTGACAAAATTTTTATGACATTGAGCAGCAAAAAATAGGTTGTCAAACAACCTAATCTCATTTTTATGTAAAATTATATAATTGCATAAATAAATTTTGAATGGTGCAATCCAAAATGTTAACAGTGGTTATCTACTAAGAGAACTTAAGTAAGTTGATATTTTATGCTTTTTTTTTTCACGTTGTATGGATTTTTTTACATTGAGTAACTTTTTTGTAATATAAAAATACAAAAGGTCCAGGCTCAGTGGCTCATACCTGTAATCCTAGCACTCTGGGAGGCTGAGCTGGGAGGATTGCTTGAGCTCAGGAGCAAGACCAAGACCCCATCTGTAGTAAAAATAAAAAAATTAGCCAGGTGTGGTGGCCCGAGCTTGGAGTCCTGTTAGGGTAGAAAGCCTGGTAGGTAAGTGTTCACCTCGAGGGTGGAGATGCAGAGATTAGGATATATAAAAGTAAAATTATTTATTTTATCCTTTTGGAAGGAAACAGAGAATGGGAGAGAGAGAGAGAAGAGAAAGGGAGAGCAGGGAGAGGCATGGCATCCCAAAGAAAGAGAAGGAGATGCCAGCTGCAAGGCCAAGTGGCCTGCTGATTTTATGGGGACAAAGAGAAAGAGAAAAAAATTAGTGATTGATCTTTAGCTGTTATAAGAAAATTATTACAGGATTAGGTATTTTCTTGTTATTTCAGCGAGGCTGCCCCTTTCAAGTCTCCAGCTACTCAGGAGGCTGAGGCAAGAAGATCAGTTGAGCCCAGGAGTTTGAGATTACAGTGAGCTAAAATGATACCATTGCAGTCTACCCAGGGTGACAGAGTGAGACTGTCTCAAAAAAACAAACAAACAAACAAAAAAAAAACTAGTTTGTTTAAACACTTTTTTTTTTTTTATCAGAAAGCACTGGGAGAGACCAGTGAATGAAGCAGGCCTCTACCTCCCCGCTGGGGATGGAGCGGTCCCGGCCACCTGCCCGCGCGCCGTGCAGCAGGGAAGGGCGGCCGCGGGCAGGCAGTGATCCACCCGCTCAGCGACCCTACGACACCTGCCCCACCGACCACAGTGCCCTGTGCCAGCCACTCTCCAGCGTGGTCAGAGGGACTCGGGCAGTGAAGCCGTGCACTTAGAACCAACCCAAAGGGGAGCACCGGCAGCCACGG